AAGCAGTTTTCTAACACAAAAATTATTTGTTAATATCGTCAGCCGCTGAGACCTGGAGAAATGGAGAGTCTGCTGCAAGTAAGTGCCATTTGCTGACCCAGGAGGAGAGAGTTAGCTGCTGCAAACTGGGCCTCCTACTGCTTTAGTAAAGTTAGCAGGTGATTAAGGGCCAGATCCAAAGCCCATTGAAATGAGTGGGAATCTGTGATGAAAGCCCATTAAATCAGCTGAGGGGCTGACTACATCTTTAAAGAGCCTTAAGCAGAACTCATGGTAGAAACTGTTTAGCACCAGCGAGAAATGTGTCAAAGATTTCAAGGCTTGGGTTCCTTTCCCTCCATTTCAATATTTCAAAACTTAATGAGATTGTGGTCTGAAACATTACCATCGCGTTCTTGGTGTCACATTTTTCTCCCATAAATGCTGGTATAACTGCACAGTAGTCCAAGCTATTCCAAATCTAAAGCCCTTCTAACTAGGCAAAAGTTGGTGCTTGATCTTAATTCATTGCTTAAAAAGCACAATTAATTTTATTCATTTCCTGTCCTGTGGGAAGGGTTGCTAAAGGACTTGCTGACAGGTTATAGTTTCTTTATCTATGCCAGACCTTTCCACCCTCACTCCTCATTAACCTTAGTGGTTCTTCAAATGAGCAAGACACTGCCTAGTATGAGTAAGGGTATCAAAACTCGGTTGATTGTTACCAGCTCAAATCTAGCTGAAGCTTTGATCTTGGCATAGCAAAGCACTCCAGTGCCTGAGGGTTCCCATTGACTGCATCAGCCCAGAATTGCAAGGACTGAGGGCTGAAACTATAAGCATTTGATAGCTGTCAGGCAGTGTTCAGTCCATGATACACACTTGGTCTTCTTCAAAATCCTGGGGAAGCTGGTAGTCAGGAATGAGAGCACAAGGTCACACGTAATACTAGATTACTTGTTTAATTACTGTTCAATTATGCATGGAATTAATAAGAAACCAGTTGAGCCCCACAGAAATATCTTTTAAAAATGTCCAAAACGGTGTGGAAATAAACTAACACACGAAGCGGGCTTCCCTGCAGATGGTTTCACTTTTACTAATTAAATCCACACAAAAAGAGTACGCCCTGAATAATACCTTTGATAGGTCTAACACCACTGTAGCTTGGCCAAATACCTAATGTGTATGACATAACTGCTCTGCAGGTAAAGTTGCATTGTGCTTGGCACTTAAAGCAGGATATTTAAACACACTTTTCTTGTATGCCCTTTGTACGTTTCTGTGTGTGCACATACACACGCACGCTTTATTGGATCAGGCTCCAACTGAGGTGAGTCATACCCACATTCGTGCCCCAGGCCAAATTCTGATGTTAGCTTCCCCAATTAAACTATCATAACTCACGTCCACATTGAACTAACTAAATTAAAGGACCCAGTCAACCCACCTCTTTACTAGAATCAGCTGGAAGCATGTAACTCCATTGATTTCAGCGGCGTTAACCCTGCTGTTCACCCCTCTGAGTGGGGAACTAGGTCTAAAAAGCACATAGTAACACACGCCAAATAATGAGGCACAGATATCTATACTGATTCTGAAACGGTAAGCGGAGGAGTCAATTCAGTAACCGATTTCTTGGGGTCCAATTCTGTGGAGTGCTGAGTTCCTCCCACAAGCCTCGCATTGCCTTTAGATGTCGGGGAAGTGTAAGTGCTGTGCACCTTGCAGGAACCAGACCCTAATCTGCTTCAATGTAAGTCTATCCCTTGTATGCAAAGCTGTTCAATTGTGCCTGTTTTAAAACCATCCCTTTTGCATTCCCAGCTTGTTAAATGAGCTGCAATGGCTCTTTCAAAATGTGTCACACAGCAGAGTTAAAGGAAAGGGTGGGGTGTCTGGGGGTGGATGAAAGTGTCACGGTTCCTGAAGGTCTTTTAAAGAGGCTTCATTTGTCTGAAACAAGACGACGTGCAAGGAACAAATCAGCGGAGCGTGGCTAACTCTTGAGGCGATGCAGTTGCTCACGTCCCTCCACTGTGGAGCTCATGGAGGGATCTTGTGTTGGGGGTGGGGAGCAGGGAAAGGTGGGCAGGGATCTTATTACACAATGGAAGGGAAAAGAGCCTCTGCTCTTTGCTAGTCAAGGAGAGCAGCTTCCAGTCATCCAGCTGGAAAGCAGCTGAGCAAAAAGGGGGTTGCTTGTGGGTTGCTTGTGGTTTGTTTAATGTGGCTCCCTGCCCCTGACTCTCCCTTGACCATAGACAAAATCTTAGCGTTTCAGAAAGAAAATAAATGACAGTAGTAGCAAGTCTTAGTCTGGTTAACAGGGACCGTTAACGAAAATGGTATGCAGGGCTGATATTTGCAAAGTGAATAGGGATATATTTTTTCCATTTATATACTGGCTGACAAGGTATGGGAGGAGGATGTAAACTTTCGTGCTTCCTGCCATAATCCAGACCCCTCTAATCAAGGGGGCAGGGAGGCTCTTTCTGTGTGTGGATTATGCAATACTTGCCTGCAGGGGCAGTGCCAGCCTCTTCCCGGCGGCAGGGCCGAGGTGGGCTAGACAGAAAATTGAACAGCTGTGCGATACACTTTCTAGCCAAACATACATATTTGGCCGAGCTGGGAGTGCCATGCCTCTGGAGGCAGGAACGGGGTGGGCTCAGCTGCGTGGGGTGGGCAGTGGTGGCCTGGTGGGGGGGAGGCAGGGTGCTACAAAGGGGCAGTGGCTACAGGGAGCACTAAGGCAAATTTGGGGGAGGCTATAGACCCCCCCAGGCTCCCTCCGAGTGCCACCCCTGCTTGCCTGCAGCAGATCTCTTGCACTTCCCTGTTCAGCATTTTGTTACTGAACTACACGGATACTGGGGTGTGGAAAAACCTTTACAATTAAAGGCACCTGCTAACAGAAGAAGCACGGGGAATTGGGAAGAATATTCCATAATGTCTATTTCGGGATTTCTTTCAGCTTCCCTAAATCCTCCTGTCCTTGCTTTCTCAGACAGACTACATAAGTCTGAGAGGAGTCTAGCATTTTCTGTAGTCTTTTGTTCTATTTTAATATTTTAGTGCAAACTATAAGCCACAAAAGAAAAAAAAAATATGTGGGCGTCTGCTAGCATTTGCTATCCTAGCATACTGCATTATTTGAGATGTACTCTTCGGGACTAGGGACCAGCATGGTGCAGAACTTCTTACCCAAGACTGCAAGATTAACCCTTGAAAGTTGAAGCCGATTCATTGTATAGCCTCAGGCAAATCACATAATCTCTCGTCTTGCATTTCCCGAAGTTGAAAATGAGTTAAGAGATTCATTTTGAAGCTTAGAGCATTTTAAAAACATTGAACTGAGATCTTAACTTGGTGTATCATATCAATTAAATGCCAGTGATGATGAGCAAGACTAACCTGTTACCAGATTGCTTCCAATCATAACATCCAGCCTCTTTCTAACAATTGTCTTCTGTAATATTTTCTCCAATATTTGGTTATTTTAGAATATGACTTGTGCTGTTACTAATCAGTATTGATTAGTAACAGCACTGTACTTGTGGGCTGCTGCAAAACCCATTTGAAGTCAATGGATTAGACTCCTAGTAACTGAATGAATAACTAATAAAGGAATTGAAGGAATTTAACACCCCTCTCTGTGCAGTATATAATTTTCTTGTCTACATTGATTAAGCTAACCTGGGTGAGGGGAGAGGGGGCAGGATATGCCAGTTCTTGGTTTTTGCAAACTACTTGCAGTACTTCCCCCCCCCCCCC